AAAGATGTGCATGTGAAGCCTATCAATTTTCGTATTTATCTAAAAGAACATTGGATATGCTGTAATGTAATATGCAGAATTTTTTGTTGTTTCAACTTGTCAGGCAACTTTTATAAATGTATTTTAAGGTTTTATATATGCTTTCAACTTCAGCTAAAAAGTAAAATAATAATAATAAAATTGTATTTTAGCTTTCAAAAAAAAGTGTTCATAAATTTAGAAAGAGAATTCCCTTCTTGCCAGTAGAAAAGACGGGCTGTCAAAAAAATGCAAATTACAAGTGCAAAATGTGTGAAAAAAGTGTAATGTTACAAGAGACAGCCAATAAAATCAACATTTAGACAGGAATTCACTATGGATTAAATTCTTTTAAATACAAAACTGTGATTGAGACATCAAAATAAGTATGTTTAGGAAATTAATGAAAGATAAACATTCATTAATAACTAAACAAAAACAAGTAGGTATGAATTACAAACTAAATGGATCATATATAAAATTACTAGAAACCTTGGATATGAACAATGCAATCATTTCAAATTACAATCTCAAATACTAGTACCTCTATAGTGGACACAGTTTCAGAGAAAAATCAGTGGATTGGAAGGCAATATTTTATAGCAAAGAGAAAGAAACAGATTAAAATAAAAACTGTTAAAATGTGTGGAACATTGAATTAGCCACATTTCAGTGCAGAAAATAAAAATCCCTCTGTGTTTCTTTAAAAGAAAGAGTTGGGAAGGCTAAGAGTCAGAGAATTGTTTTTTGAATGATTGACTACAAGGCCATGCCATGGAAGTCATGGTATGGAGGTCAGGAAGCAGCTGCTGTTATTGCTACTGAATATTCCACAACTAAGCTTTATTCCCAGGAAGTTGATGACTAGAGAAAGAAAAGTGAAAAGTGGCCAGCAGAAACATTTACCTATGTCTGTTCTATCCTGATTGTGATATTTTTACAACGTATTATTTATTGTTTTTTAAATGCAATGTATTTTTTACAATATATATTACAATGTACAATTTTTCTACAATTGGAGGAAAATGGGCAAAGGGAACATAGAATCTCTCTGGGTTATTTCTTTGAATAACTTGTAAACCTACAACTATCTCAAAATAAAAATTTTAATTTAAAAAATACAGTACTTATAAAAGATGTGCATGTGAAGCCTGTCAATTTTAGTATTTATCTAAAAGAACATTGGATATGCTGTATCTGTATTTTATGTGTTGTATCTTATTTCTTCTATGTGTTATGATCTAGTATTTCCATCATTACCACCATTGTTTTTGTTTTTCTAATTGTCAGTAGGAGCTTGCTCACGTTGGCTCCTGAGTCCTTTTGATATATCAGCATCATTTTTTGAACCTTCCTTAGTTTTCAGAACCCTGAACTTCTGATACCACAGGGTGTTCCAGGCTCACTCCACATATTATCAAGCCTGGACATGATGTGGGCCCTGTTTTTTACATCGTTGCTATCTGCAGACCAATTCCTTCCTTCCTCACCACAAACCCCTTTCCTCTGACTCTCAGGCCATGAGGCTGCGCCAGCACTGTCTCCTTTCTGCAGTGCCCTTAGATATCCAGGCCTCTCCAAGCTTCACGGCTGCACCCTAGATCCACGGGCACGCACGTCCACTGGGCCCTTAGCGCCACCCACGCATTCTACTGAATTTTTCTAGTCCTTCCCTTCGCCTCCTCTCTTCAAACATGTAACGCCTCCTCATGTATACCATTCTCACGGCGACCTGGTTTTATACCTCACTGAGAAAATAGAAAACTGCGCTCTTATATGTCACCTTCCTGCCTGTTACCTGCAGATGATCTGCCTTATATGCTTCTATCTAAGGCCAATTTTTCTACTTGTGCACTAAACAGAACTAAAACTTACTGAGGACTTTCTCTGTGGCTGCCGCTATTCTGAGCACTTTATTAATTCTCATAAAATGCTATGTATCCTGACTTTACGAATGGAGCACCGCTTTCTGGATAGATAACTAAGGCACACGGACAAGAAACGGTCCTAGAGTCACATAGCTGTTAAGTGGCAGGATGCCAGCTTGAGCCCAGGTAGCCTGTCTCCAGAATCTATGCCCTTACCCATCAGCTGCACTGCTGCTCAGGATGGAGTTGATTTCCTTTCACCTCCGCAGGGACTTCAGAGATGCCCCCCTCTCTCCCCTGCATCATATCCATCAGCAAACAATGTGACAGTTTCCCCCATATTTAAAATAAAGCCTCTCTTGATCCCACATTACCTGTCAGCAAACATCTTATTTCTCTGTCCCAACTTTTCTGCAAAACTTTTAAAAGGGCTGTCTATATTCACCGATATTGGTTATCACCAATTTCTGTTCCCCTGGTCTCCGTTTCAGCCTCTCAGGGTCGGCTTTTCCTGGACTGTGGACTTATGCACCGTCTCCCCTTCGATGTCTAAAAGGCATCTCAGACTCCCCAGGTCTCAAAACAAACTCCCGATCCTCCTGTTGCAAAAGTCTTCCCCAGCTCAAGAAATGGCAACCTCCCTCTTTCTGTTGCTCAGGCTAAAAATCTCGGTGTCACCCTTAATTCCTCTTTTTCTTTTTTTAACTGCACACCTAATCCTTTAACAAATCCCAACTTCAAACTCTAACTGTAACACTGCAGTTCCCATCACTCGCTTCTGGGCCCTTCCCTCCCCACCCCAGACACTGTCAGGATGCCTGGCTTGGGGACTTGAAGGCCATTAGCAACATCCCCAGGGAACCTTCTCGCTGCCCGGTTCTTCTCTCCCCTCCCTCCCCGCAGCTCAGGCCATGATGAGTGGTTGGGTTGCAGAGAAGAGCAACGAACAGAATTGTTTCAAGAAGTCCTGCTTCCATCGTGTCATGATGTTCTCTGTGACAACGAAGGCCCAAATTTGGTACCTGTCTAGAATTAGGAGAAAGAAAACTATACAGAAAACAGATACCATTGTAGTAAATTGCCCTGCAGAGGGAAAGAACAGTGGCTCTTTTTCAAGTGTGCATGGGAGACTTGAGACGGGAGTAGTGGCCACAGGAAGAGGGACAGTGTCACCACCACGTCTCAACACTGAGGCGTAGGGAGTGTGGAAACGAACCAGCCACCAGGGGAGCGGGCTACAAAGGAAGCACTGACTTCAGGGAAGAGTCTGTTTTTTAATTTCGGCAAATGGGGTGTGGGGAGCACTCAAGTTGGGTGGGTATAAAATGAGGCGTTTCCACTTTGGGCATTAACCCAAACTACAGAGCTAGGGTGTAACAGGACAAAAACTATGACTGTTCAAGTGTTCCAAGAATTTGAATAGTGAGAGCTACTGGGTTAAATAATATAAAACACAAATTTCTGTGGTAAGCAGGTATAATTTTTTACAACAAATAAGCATCGGTCTCAAGAGTAAAGGCAATATAATCTCTGCATTCAAAGTGCAATCAATCTCATAGGAGAGCTTACCTTGGGAAAAATAACATTATTCAACTTCATGATAACGGGATACAAAGTGATTGTAAATCCTACAAGAAAGCCCCACTATCTTCAACATGCCCTACTGTTTATATTATTTCCTCAAGAAAACTGTTAAATATTTTTTTTTAGCTTTTACCCTTATCTAAGTAATAGTCAAATATAAAGGTTAACTCAGTGTACTATATCGTCAAAGTTCAATACTTCCCAATAACTAAAATTCTAGCTATTATAAACCTGAGTCCATTAGTTCTAACTTTTAATTTGATCAAGGTGCAATGAACTATTGATAATTTTTATCCCTACACTAAGCAAATGACATCCTCTCTCCAAGGCTTTTCTACCTGGAGCGTGTGGCGCTTTGCAGTCCCCAGTCCTGGCATGTGAACCTCATCTGTTCGTCCTTAGTTCACTCCCCGCCCCACATGCATCCACTTAGCCAAGACAGCTGAGGCATCCTCTGTATTCTGTACCGGTGGCCACTATAACACTTATAACTTGACATTCTTTCTCTCAATAAGTATATAATTTTGGTCTTTCTGTGATAGAATATAAGCAACTTGAGAGCAGACACTGTTGTTATCATCTTGGTAACCTCAGCAGCTAGCACATGGTAACCTGCACATAGGAGGCTCACAGGTATTTTTTAAAATATATTTTTATTGGTTTCAGAGAGAGGAAAGGAGAGGGAGAGAGAGAGAGAAACATCAATGATGAGAGAGAGTCATTGACTGGCTGCCTCCTCCTAGCCCCTTGTTGGGATCAAGCCTGAAACCCGGGCATGTGCCCTGACCAGGAATCGAACCCCGATCTCCTGGATCCTAGGTCGATGCTCAACCGCTGAGCCACACTGGCCAGGCTTCACAGGTATTTTTCTGAATAACTGAATCAGTGTTATCCTTGCTACTACCCCAGGAAGCACCAGACTGTCACAGAGCAGGCAGAGCCGGCCCTCTTAGTTACCAAACAGATGAATTAATAGGTGGATATGTACCTCGTCACAGTACTTTTAGGGGCGTTAAAAGAATTTCCTAATATTAGAAACTATTAGGAAATTATTGCTAACCTTGTTAGTTGTACTAATTGTGGTTAGGTAGAAAAATATCCTTATTGTTAGCAATACATATTGAAGTATTTACAGTGAAATGCCATGGTGCATATGGAATTTACTTTAAAATACTTCAACAACAAAGCAGATGACGTAATGTGACAAGTTATTATTATATTTAATTATGTGCATATTCTAGTCTATTCCAACACTTAAAATGACAAGAATATATTAAGAATCTAGAAATTAATGCGGTTACCTTTAGATAAACCAGTAACAAGTCATATAATACTCTGAGAGAGTATGACATGCTTAAGAAAGTACAACGTAGTATAATTTAAAAGTCACCAAAAATGTTTCCCCAAACATTTAGGATAACCAAAAGGATATCCTCAACTACTTATGGGAGGCAGAAGGAGAATATTCTATTTAGAAATAAATTATTTATATTTAAGAAAGTAAATTTCAAATACTACAGGAGGCAAAAATTTGATCAATTATTTATTTCATTTAGGGAAAATAAATTTTCCTTTACATATCATCTTGAACTTTTCTTCCTATACATGTAAAACCAGTGTGTTCACTGATATAAATAATCATAATATTACAAAAAATAAGATTTATAATTTAGAATCACTTCAGAAATATAGAATCTTTTCCTGTTAATCTTGTAATATTTCTAGATACTTTCAAAGACATTAAGTTAATAAAAAGACCCTCTCATCCTCTCACAGATTCCTTTACAAAAAGAAAGATTTTTCCTAAGAACAAAATTAAAATTGTCACTGATCCATCTTACAAGTAAAGGGTTAAATCTTGTTAATTATCTGTACTTAGGTGACAAAGAAAGAATTATTCCTTCATTCTATACTTCTCCTTTGCCACCAACTAACCCAGGAAACTTGATTCTCTAGGTCATTAACATCTTTTTCATTTAAAATATTTTTCCAACCCAGTCAAATGCATTTCCATGGAATAAGAAAGTATAAAATGCCTTAGAGTCAAGAAGGGTTATTTTATAACATGGTTTATCTCACTTTGGCAATTTTGCTCAGAAGAGAGGCCAGGCAATGAATTTGTTTGTTTTCAATATCCAACGAATGGTTTTTAATTTTTAATTTTCTTGTAAGTAAAAATAACATTACAAATCCAATGGGGGGAAGAATCGCTTACTTCCTTTTCTTCATGCGCACTTCTAAGCATGAACAAATCCCTACATTTTCCTACACTTTTCGAAAAGTAATTAGTCCCGGTCCTGCGAATTGTTTTATTTTTAAGAGGCTTGGAAGTGCTGCGAACGTGATGATTCTGGGACAGATTTGTTTCTTCTTGATTCAGTGACACTCTTAGCACCTTAACGAAACTGAGAGCATGCAAACTGAACAGCACTACTGCATATATTGTGTCCATGCTTCCAGAAACTTATAAGAAACTAGAAGTATCCTGGATACTTGTGTAAGCTTTCTTCTTTTTTCTTCTGTGGCTAAGCCAGGTAGCCAGTGGTTACTAGCGTCATAAGCAAAACTATCAATGTTATAAATGTTTGTCCTGAAAGTTAAAAAAAAGAAGTTAAAATCAAAATAATTTTATTTACTGGTAATAAACATGAAGATTTAAGTTACCATGCGCTAGACTATGAAGAATTAATCGGTTAGTTTGGGGTGTCAAACTAATGCAAAGTTAGTAAGTTATATAGTATACCTTACAACAAATCTTAGTATTCCCTCGACACTGGGAACTCTGAAAGCCACCAAGCCAAAAGGAGAAACAAATATAATACAAGCCAATCACCTCCTGAGTCAAATAGTCATAATAATAAAGGCATTCTTACTGGTAAGCCCTAACATATCAACCTTTTGTGTCTCCCCCCAAATATTTATGTCATGGCTGGCATCTAATCATTACAATAAACTGAGCGCAAGACAGGGAGAGGTGACGAGCGCGTTGCTGAAGGACAGATGGCATGTCATCCTCAAGAGTCAATGTTAGTCATTCGTTCAAAAAAGAAAAACAGTTCTGACAACAGTCCAGGGCGAAGCCTCTAGTATCCTTGAATAGTACCAGATAAATCCTGAGCCAACAGCACGGATGGGCGTTTGCAAGAAATGGGATTTTATAGAACCGTGTACCTTTCATGATTTACTTCGTACTTCTGAGGCACCGTCACCAGTCTCAGTTAGACCATGAAACATAACATTGGGTGCTTTGTTGTTCTCGTGAGTGTAGTAAGAGCTGAATAGTAGAGAAGGAAAACACTAATTGAATTACGTTATTTAAACCTGAATCCCAAAGTAATACCAGCAGCTGCTTACAGTCACACCCTTTTTATAGCTAGCATGCCCCATGGAAGGCGACACTCCTAAAAGAAGCCAGTCCTCGGGCAGGCCAACACCAAGGACGGCCGGGCGAAGGCGCGTCACCGCCCTCGGGCTCACTGACTCTTTCCCCTGTCCTCATTAAGACCGATTTGTTAATGAAGCTGATATAAAATTTTTAAAAATGATATGAAATCAGGAGAATAACCAGGCATGTATAAAGCTAGCTCTCGCCCTCAACGGCTTTTACTTCTCAAATAAGGCAAGTGGAGTGTTGTTAAAAGGCAGAATGTTTTCTCAGGGCTTTTTGCCTGAACTTTTCCTCTTATTCAGAAATAGAGGAATTAGGTTTGCTGTAAAACCCCCAAGAAAACTCAAAACAAATATTCCCTCCTTCTATGGTTCAGCACGTTTCATCCTATTAAAAATACCACGGCCAATTGTTTCACCAAAGAACGTGAAGGAACTGATGGGGCCCAGTGCCGGCGCCCTGCAAACTCGTCGCCTTGCACCGTCGCTTGCCGAGCCCCACGGCTCTGGCTTCGGAAGGGGGACAGAAGAGCTGGGACAGACGCAAGGAAGGCCACGAGGTGGTGCTTTACTTTCTGTCCAGAGTGGTTTTGCCACAGCATCTGTACCAAGTCATTTTATATGACGTAGACTTCTTTTCATTTTTGCTGGGCTTTAAAAGCCCCATTCTTTTTATTTTTATTTTTATTTTTACTTTTATTTTTATTTAAAATATTACAAATGTTCTTTATCTCTCCAAAAGTCCCATTCTTAAAAAGTTTCTGAAAAATCTGAAGAGCGAGTAATATTTTACTACATTTGCTGTTACAGCCTCGAGGCTACTTTATGAACAGTAAAAACTATTTTAAAAATCCAGGACCCGATGGTCTAATAGTTTTACTAAAATACTGAGCCACTTAGTGATTTAAAGAACATTCACATACTTTAGCTTATAATGGGCTTGAATATATATTCTTAACAATATTTGTTAAGTTAGGGAGAAAGGAAAGAGTTCTTTAGGGCCAAAAGTAGATAGCTCACATCACCCAAAGAATTAAAACAGGTAATTTAGTAACAGCACTAAAATACAGTTGTTCTTAATTAATGAAAACGTAGGCATTAGGGAAGTATAGAAATAACTCAAAAGTTTATATGAACTTTGTAACTGGTTTTCTGAGCAATAAAACCTACAAGAAAACAAAAGAGGGTCAATTTAGTTATCTATTTATTTATTTATTTTTAATATGTCATGAGTTTTATAAGGACTCATGAGATAAAATCCTTCTGTTTCTCAGCCATTCATAGCATCTTCCTAACTCGGGGCCTTTGCACATGCTGTTTCCTCTGCCCAGAGGGCTAGGAGAGGGTCAATTTAAATAATCCTGTTTATCTACCGAACATGTCAGAGCCAACCATGACAATATACCTCACATGTGAATTTTCAAGGCAGGCCAGATGTTTTGAATAATACTGATTTTTTTCCCTACGTGTTACTGTTTTACCATCTGAGGGCTTACTACGTGCCAAGTGATGTTCTAACTTCTTTACAGGTGGAAATTCACTTGATCCCCACTACAATTCCGTAAGGTAGGTTCTCTATCTCCCGCTTTTTACAAGTGAGAAAACTGAGGCACAGAGAGGTTAAGTTGTTTACAGTGACATGGCACAGGAACAGCAGGCACAGGATGGAACCAAGCAGTCAGGTCCCAGAGCCTGTCCTCTTAACCACTGGGCTGTTTTTGGCTAGAATGTCATGTACCAATAAACACAACTCAGAAAAAGGCCTAATTATAGGCAATTTAACAATATGTTAGAGGCTGGC